TGTACTTCAGGTGAAGGCTTACAGAACAAATAGTTTCTCATGAAACAGTAGTACACATATTGTTTTATGACATTGGTTAACAACCCCACAACATGTCGATCATCTCCCTTCTCAACCTTTATTTTTTTGGTGAAAGTATACATAGCCAAAGATACACCATTTAAAAATTTCTACATGCACAGTTTCTGCCAAGTTTCTTGACACAGTAACCCCTGTCAGCTGTTACCACTCTCTCTCAATCCAATCAGATTTCTGCCTCCACCACGCCATTGAAAATGTCCTCCCATTGACCCCAGTAACCTTCTAAATTACGAAAGCCTCCGAATACTTTCCAGTCTTCATCCTGCTTGAACATATTACCCAGAAGAGTGCTTGGCACGTAGTAGAACTCAGTAATTATTTGCTGTTGAATGAAGTAACTTTTCTGAGCCTTTGATAACAGCAGACACCCTTGCCTTTTTGAAACCCTTTCCTTGGCCTACATGCCCAGATTCTCTCCTGCCCTTCTTCTGCCTTTCTGTGCACTGACCGTGTTCTACATATTATTCCTGGGCAACCTCATCCAATCAGTGAGTTTCAATTACTAAATATGCTCATAGTATATTGGAAAAATAGAGGAACTGTGAAGAAAGATAACAAAACTATACAGTCTTTTCACCCACAGTGAACTGTATTATTAACATTTTGGTGAATTTCCTTCAAGTCTTTCTTCTGCAAGAAATTTCTAATTTTTTGAGTCATAATTATACGGTACATGCAATGTTTTTCTTATTTCTTTTTCTTAATATCCCTTTCTTGATTATTTCCTTTTATATTTTTTTTTAATTGACTGAATTTCATTACCTGCAAAATATTCCTTTGTACCATACTTTTCTTAATCAATTCCCTACTAGGAGCGTGTCATGGATTGAATTATGTCCCCCCAAAAACGTGTGTATCAATTTGGCTGGGCCATGATTCTCAGTATTGTGTGGCTGTTCTCCATTTTATGATTGTAATTTTATGTTAAAGAGGATAAGGCTGGGATTATAACACCCTTGCTAAGGTCAGATCCCTGATCCAATGTAAAGGGAGGTCCCTGGGGTGTGGCCTATACCACCTTTTGTCTTACAGGAGATAAAAGAAAAGGGAAGCAAGCAGAAAGTTGGGGACTTCACACCACCAAGAAAGTCTGTCTTATATGAGATAAAAGGAAAGGGAAGCCATCAGAGAGTTGGGGACCTCATAGCACCAAGAAAGCAGTGCCAGGAGCACAGCGCATCCTTTGGACCCAGGGTCCCTGAGTGGGGAAGCTCCTAGTCTGGGGGAAGACTGATGAGAAGGCTGACAGAGGAAGAAAGCCCTCCCCTGGAGCTGATGCCCTGACTTTGGACTTCTAGCCTACTAGAATATGAACAAATAAATTTGTCTTTGTTAAAGCCATCCACTTGTGGTATTTCTGTTATAGCAGCACTAGATGACTAAGACGGGGAATACAAGTTTGAATGCAGTGTTTACCTCTATGTCTTCCTCATTAGACTTTGAGGGACTATGCCTCATTCATTTTTGTTTCCCCAACTTACATTTTTATATTGTGTGATTTAACCAAACTCTACTTGTAAGCACAGAGACTATGCCTTATACATACTATATCTTAGGTGATTACTGATCGGTTTATTTTTACATTTTTGCATGAAAATTTATTAACACTGTTCTTGGATACAAACACTTGTTGCCCAGGGCTTCTTGGGGAAGTGCTGTTGTTTGTGGGACCTAAGTCTTTGCTTCAGGGTCTTCCATGACCCTGAGAAGAGTGATGGGAGCTGGTAAGATGTGTGGTTGGTGGTAGCTGCTTCAGTGGTACCTGACTTTGTAATCAAACTAATGATTAATTGCTTTTCTTCCATTTTAAAAGAAATACATACTCATTATGGAAAAATGGAGAAATAGAAAAAAGAAAAAAAAAAAAAAAGCCCATAGTTTTGCCACTCCCAAAACAACCACTTAATATTTTGGTGTATTTCTTTCCAATCTTTTTCTTTGAATAGTTTTTTTGTTTGCTTGTTTTAATTTATACGTACTTGCAATTATAATGAACATAATATTTTTCATTTTATTTAACACATGCATGTGCATGCTATTATAATACTTAATATCATATTTAATGATTCTAACCTATTTTATTTTTAATATATCATTATTTAACCATTTTCTTGCTCTTGGACATTTAATATGGTTCCTTTTTCCTTTTTTGTGTGTGGGGAGGGGTGGTTACTTTGAATAAAGTTTTTATAAAGCTTTTTTTCTATAGGAAAAGAAAATGAGCGATTATTTCATTTTCTTATAAACAGAGTATCCATTTTAATAAATCTTACAATTTTAAAGAAATAAGGTATTGCTTCATTTAGGATATATATGAATATTTTAAATTTCAAATTATAGAGACAAGTATATGTTCCTCCCTCTCACCCACCAGGCAATTTCTGAACAAATTTTTTGGTTGAATTTAGGGCTATGTGTAAGTGTGTCTGTGTGTGTACTTATGTGGCCCAGAGAGCACCAAATAAGCAATCTGATTGGACTGTTAAAAATCAATTTCAGTCATTTTTAGTGCATTTATGCAGCCAAAACCTAAAAATCAGAGCTCCAGTGAAATAGCCCTGGGTTTTAGACTTGGATTTCCTCTTAATTAACTTTGGGACCTTGAGCCAATCACAGAAACTTTCTTGTCCTTAATTCCCTCAGTCGTGAAATAAGGGAACTGAATTAAATAATTTCTTGGTAGACTTTGCGTTTCTAAGGTAAATTAGTAGCCACTTACAAGGTCTGCTTGGAAAAATCACTGTTGGACAATCCTCATCCAATAAAATTTCTGTGAGAGACTAGAATGGAAGGAAAGGTGTGTTAATATTTCAAAGTCTCTATGATAACTACTCTGACTCTCAATATTAAAAACTCTGTTCTTTAAAAAATTTAACTCCATAATGATTTTCTTTTTCAAAATTACTTTCGCTAATAATAATGTCAGATTATCACATACATACACACATGCAGCAAATGTTCTTAAATGCCCTAAACATTGTTCGATGGAATCAACAATAATACCACCAGATCCACTGAAACCAGGGGTTCGAGCCAGTTCATTCCAGTTCAAACCCCTCCTGAGAATTTGCATTTCCACTGTAGATATACTGAATCAGAATCTACATTTTAACAAGATCCCTAGGTGATTCTTATGTATGATAAATTTTTGAACACTGCTCTACTGGTAGTTCTCAGAATTGGTCTCTAACCAGAAGCATTAGCATCCCCTGGGAACTTGTTAGAAATACAAATTCTCAGCAGGGGTTCGAACAAAACAAACTACACACCCTTGAAAGCGTATTATCTTTGTCTTAGCCACATCCTGGATCTCTAATCATTCAGTTTTTCTGAAAAAACAACATCTTCTCTCATTTAGAAGCCATTAATATTATTGAACATAATGAGCCTTCAGAACACCCTCCTAACTCTCAAACTTGAATAAGGTTTGGGGTTTTTTAAAGGAGTGATTATCAGACTGGTTTTGGTGGTAAGATTTTATTTATTACTAGGTAGTCATGGGGCTTCATCAACACATGAATGAAATGGTGACTGCAAATGACATTAACGCCTAGCTCTTGACAGAAAAAAATCCATCCAGCTAGAGTTTGTTGGTGTCAGGGAATCATTGAAGCTAACTTACCAGACTTACCAGTCTTTCAGAACACCACAAGTCTACAAAACAATACGCTATAAACGATGTGTGTGTATGTGTTTGTGAGTGTGTGTTAGCATATGTGTTTTAACTGAGTGTTGGTTTTCATAATCCCTAGAACATATGGGAGTTTGTCCAGTTACAAATGTTTATGTTACATCTGAGAGTGAAACAAAGTTAAAATTCTTCTCTAGTTTTAAGCTTAAGCACGCATACCTTCTTAGGCATAACAAAACTGGTCTTGCAGAACTGTTTGTAGTATGCCCAGTGGCTTCGGTTGTTTTTGGTGCTAACTTGCATTTCCACATAAGTTACAAATCTTTCTGGGCACTTGGAGACACAGATCTGCGAAGGAAAGGAACATGATGACAGGAGCTGAAATGAGTTGAACAAACTATGGAAGTATTCACAAAGTTATATTTCCAAATTACCCATCACAATAAAGAGCAACATATCGTTTTCCATCTCAGAAATTTAAACTGATTTTCTGATCTTATTGGAAAAGATGAAATCCCATATACTTGATACCAACCTCTATCCCATGAACTTTGATGTTGATGTTGTGTTAAATCAGATACCGTACAGTAATGGAATTGTTTTAAATTTTGATTTTGAAATAGACATAGATCACCTGCAATTGTGAGAAATTATAGAGTGATCCCATATACCTTTCATGCAGTTTCCCCCAATGGTAATAACTTGTATGACTGTAGTACAGTATCACAACCAGGAAACACACTGATACAATCCTCTGGCCTCTTTCAGATTTCACCAGTTTTATATGCACTCATTTGTGTATGTGTGCATGTGTATTTAGTTCTCTGCAATTTTATCACATATGTAGATTTGTATGACCCCCACACAGGACAGTGATGGACTTTTAACAAAAAATTTTCTTATGATTTTCTGAATTAGCAGCTAAGAGTATAATTTAAGATTAATTCAGCCTGTGTAGTTTATGTATGTTAAGGGTTAGACTCTTGCTTTCTATTCTGTATATATCCTGTATATATAAAACAGTGATTAAAAATGCTCCTAATATTGATAATTTACATCATTAATAATTATCAGTACCAGTGAATTCTCAACGACAATTCACAAAACATAGTTGGGGTTTTATCGACATAAGAAATGAACACAATCAGGGCTTTTTGCTACAATCAATCATTATTATAATCTGTTTCCAACACCAATCAGATATGGGCAGAGAGGTCACCTATGCCATTATTTTACATTAATGAACTTTAGGGGGCTATCAGTGCCAATCCAGATCACTGTGCTAGTCCACAGAGTCACCTCAGAGTGACTGAAATCCAATTAGTAACTCCACAGAGAGAAAGCAGAATCAGGGAAGATGGACTCCATTGGTTTTGCTTTTGTTTACAATAAAAATCAAAGAAAGCACATACTAAGCCACGAGAGCTGCAGTCAATCTTTGTGCACTCTGTCCTCAACCTTCATTTCCTCTTTGTGAAATCCTCCTCAAGCCTGACTTCTCCATCTCCCTGCAGGGCTTCAGTAACTATTTCTCACTTGTGTGACTCCAGATAAACCCCTGCTTGCAGTTAGATAAACCACTGCTGCTGAGGTGACTTCTCTTTCCATCTGTTGAGTCATGTTACTGCTGTACACAGGCCATTCTGTGTCAACTCCACAGCTAAATTAGCAGGTGAATAACTAGATGGATGCCTCAAATCTCACAGTTAAAACTGACTTGTAGTAGCAGCAGTTCAAATTCCTTCTAGAAGTTTTGACAAGATAAAGAACCATATCCACATTCACATCTCTGTATTTATTTTCTTTTTCTCAGTCTATCATACACACATATTTGCACACACACAATACTCAATCACATATCCTCCTAGAAGAAATCTGCCAGAGTTCTCTGAAGTATGTTTCTGAAAGGTTGAATAACTTTTTTTAATGGCCATTCACAGAGTCCAACATGCCCACATTTTTTGGCAAGAAATCTAAGGTTATTATCAATGCAAATGCCAAAAATCCACTCTGATTGGAGGTAAGCTGAATAAACCATTAACAGATTAGGAGATAGCTTACAGATATGTAGACCTTGACAATTTACTTATACAACTTCAAAAGACAAATGGGGTGAGGGGAAGACAACTGAATTAGTTCCCTTATTGGATATATTTAAGTGGATTTATAAAAATGAGTATTGAAGGTAATAATACTTTCAAAGGCATTAAATTGTGGTAGCAACTACTGAGTTCGGACCATGACAATTTCTGCATTTATAAATACAAATACATATAATGTATATTACCCATAAAAGTTGGTGGTTTGAGCTCACCCAGCAGCACTGCAGGAGAAAGACCTGGCAATCTGCTTCTGTAAAGATTACAGCCAAGAAAACCCTATGGGGCAGTTCTACTCTGTCACATGGGCCACTATGAGTCGGAATGGACTCAACAGCACCAAACAACAATTAAAATGGTAAAAAGTGGTTTGTTAAAGAGAATCACATCAAATCTCATTCCAGACACAAATGAGCTATGAAAAAACAATATAGCAATTGCTCTTTACTCTTTCCCGCCATCAGACCAATTTGTTCACTTTAAATAGGGTGCTGATTAGTAGTAATCAACATATAATTATCCAAAAATGAAGGTCACATTGCAGTTGGGTATCCTACTTGATCACAATCTGTCCTTTAAAGGCTTGTGACACGTGTCTGGACCATACAGGCAGTTAACAAAAAATATAATGCATAAGAATATGGCTTGGATCAACAGATAAACCATTGTCTGGCAGAGTAAAAGCTGCATTATTGGCAGCTAAAATATATTCTGACTCAGTTCTGATTTCTCTGTGCACCACAAAGGGCGCTTTGAATGTAATTCTTTATCAGTATTTTTGTATCTTCTACTCATTTAGCTTTGACACTCTCATATAAATTAGGATTTGGTGGGTGGAAGAGAGTTACATTGGAGGTTAAAATATTACATTTGCTATGAAGGAAGAATGATCTAGTAAATCATCTAGGAAACACAGAATGCAAAAAAGTATTATAAATGTGCAAGGAATTTTTTGTTTTATCATGAGAATGATGGATTAATTTAGAATAGTGGGAAAATTCCTGGACCAGGAGTAAGAAGATATTTGTTCATTCATTCATTCAACAGATGTTTATCATCACCTACTCTGAGTCTATTCCAGACACTGTGGACACAATGGTGAATAAAACAGACAAAAACTCCTGACTTCAAGCAGGAGGAGACTTCAAGTAGGGGGAGACAGGTAACAACAAATAAATAAGTTAAACGTTTCTTATAAGATGGTAATAAATGCTGTGGAGAAAAATAAGGTTAGAAAGGAGGCCAGAGAGTGAGGGGGTGGCTCAGTGGGGTTCCAAATTTACATAGGTAATCAAGGAAGGCCTCACTAAGAAGGTGACATTTGAAGAAGACTAGTGGTCATGTTATAGAGTCATCTGGAGGAAGAGTACTCTAGACAGGAAACAGCTAGGGTTAAGTCTCTGAGACAAGAAAAAAATTGTTTTCTAGCAGAGTACGCTAGTGAACGAACAAGGGATTTGTAGAGTAGCTGTTAGACGTCATTAATCGCCCACTTAAGGTTAGTGTCACCGGAACTTGAAATGTCACCAATAAGGATTGTTAAGTGTTTCTCTCCAAGAACACGCAGTTGCATGGGTTCAGGCATGGAGTAGGCAAAGTGCTACATGTAGTCAGAAATGAGGTTTTTCCAGGAGGAGCTTTGGTGGCATGATGGTTAAGCACTTGGCTGTCAACCAAAAGGTTGATGGTTCAAACCCATCAATGGCTTCACAGGAGAAAAAAGACCTGGTGATCTGCTCCTGTAAAGATTACATCCTTGGAAACCCTATGGGGCAGTTCTACTCTGTCCCACAGGGTCGTTATGAGTCAGACTCGACTCAATGACACACAATAACAACAATGAAGGAGTGATTTTAAAGAGTGACCATGGAATCTAAGTCAGGTAAAGAGGAAGATGAAAACATGAGGGAACTGAGGGATAATGCAAACGGGTAGCTTGTAGGTGCCAGTGAGGTAGAGGAACCATTGGAGTTGGAATATTAGCGGTATTGAGATGAAAGAGCATGGGGACTTGAAATTAAGATTACAAAAGGTAGTAATTATTGGTACTGACAAGGCCAAGGATTTGACCTTGGCAGTGGATAGCTGAGGCAGACGACAAGATCCTATGGACAATAGACAGCAAGAAGTGGTCACAGAACTAAGATGCTAACATCCCAAATGGGCTTTTTTCTCAGCAGGAAATCAAATTTTAAAAGCCTTGAAGGAGATGAAGAAGCAAAGAAATAAAGCAGATTTATGAACTAGGGCTAGGGAAGATCTTTGGGTGTGGTTATCAGCACAATGGATAATGTTGAAGAACACATTTAATGCATACAAAAATTCACAAATTAATTTTAGAAAGCAGGTTAATAAAGAATATGAAAAAGATTTTAATTTTATAAAAAATGTGTATTATATGCAGAGACAAATGATTATATCTGGATGGTGGGAATTACATTTTATTAGTTCATTTTTTGAAACAAAAAGCAAATAAGTGAGAAGTCTACTAAGTAATTAGGTTCTTGTACTGCCAAAGAAATCACCAGCTAGCCCAAAAAAGCCTTGGACTGTTAAAATAATCCTTGAGGCACTAAATTTGTACAACACGAAGTTAGCTTTGAAAACTCTATATATGGACCCCAAGGAGGACAGACTTTCCTGTGCTATGGTGTGGGCTGGAGTCTACTCCTCTGGACTGCAGTATACTTTCCTTCTTCCTAAGGGAGGCAACCCAAAGTCCCATATAATATTGTCTTTAGGTCAGAGTTCGGAATCTGTGGGTGATGTACAGTCCTCTCTATGGACAAGAGATAACTTGGAGGAAATCTTGCTGAACAGGGAGGACAAGACCTGTTTGGCAGGATTCCATTATTGCATACACCAGAGACTGATGTGTATTTTTCACCCCTCCCTTTCTGAATGGGAGTTTGTATCGCAAGTTTCCTATAATTGTCCCCATTGTGATTTTAGTATCCAGACCTGAGGGAGAGAACTTGGCATCACCCAAAGATCCTGGACTTGGAACTAAAGATAGTACTATGTGGGACTCTGGGTTGTCTCCATTAAGAAGAAGGATGTGCTAGAGGCCAGAGGGATAGGCTATGGAAGACACAGCTATCTGTCCACTGAAGTTTGTGACTTGTGTTCCACTTGTTACATGGTACAGAAGAGGCTGCCCAGCCCACAACTACATTGTTCAAGCTTTACTCTTGCATCCAGGTGTGACTATGTATAACTACTAGTTCATGTCTATGAAATATGAGTGAAAATGCAATGTGTGACACTTCTGATCCAAGGCTTTCAAGATCAAGTGTGCTTTGTACATTTTCTCTTTCCCCTTTTGGCAACTGGATGCAGATGACGATGATGACTTAGGAGATGGCAGAGCCACAAGATGAAAGAACCTTGACCCCTGAGTTATTGCATGGAGGAAAGTCACTCAGTGACCACAAACACCTGCCTTACCCACTGTGTTAAATAACTGAAAAAGTGGGGTTTACTATTTACAGTAACTATCATTACTCTTCCTAATACAATACTAATCATGAGAAAAGTCTCTTCATTTCTCTGAGCTACAGTTTATTTACTTATAAAAATAGATGGTTGGACAAGATAATCAGTGAGGTATCTTTGCAATACTAAAATGATCAATCCCTGTTTAGTTTTGATCATATATGAATCAACATGAGCTCATACTTATGTCTGCCCACCTTCCAAATTCACAATTAACCTCAAAGAACTCAAGTGGAATTTCTGAATTTTTTCATCCAAGGATGCTCAGAATTGCTAACCTCCAGTGAGACATAATTTTGACTTACCTGTGTGGTAGGGCATTGTAGGTTTATCATCACTGAGGGACTCGCACATTTGAGAAGATTAAAGTAAAACAAAATGGACTTGTTCCTGGTAAGAAAGAAAACAAGATAGAATAGTATTTTTGCCGATCATGGAAATGTTCCATACAATTTCAGATCCCTAAGAATTTTTAACATAATATGACCTTTAAAAATTGGTTTCACTTTTTTCTAGAGATGTATTATATTCCCCAACTCCAATTTAAGCTGCCTAATATTTAAAGCACCTTTTAGTAATTGTAAAAAAATTGAAGTAATCAAATTATTCATCAACAGAGAATTGGTCAAATAAAGGATTGTACACTAATAAAGCAGATAACTATGTTGTCATTTAAAATAATGTTGAAGGACATATTTAATGCATAGAGAAATTCACAAATTAATTTTAGAAAGCAGGTTAATAAAGAGTATGAAAAAGAATTTAATTTTATAAAAAATAGGTGTATTATATGTAGAGACAAGTGATTATATCTGGATGGTGGGATTACATTTTATTAGTTCATTTTTTGTACTTTTATGGATTTTCTAAAATAAACTCATATCACTACTTTGGTAATCTGAAAAAAGGTAACTTAAATTGAGTGATATTTTCTCTGAGTTCAAAATTATGGTCAGTGGCATAGTAATGGGACAGGCTGGGACTCATTATCATTAGTATTGAATGAAGTATTAATCTGTCATTTGGCAATCCAATGATTTCTTTTGAGTTTCAGTTTCCTCATTAGTAAAATGGGGATAATTCTGGCCCTACCTACTTCACAGCTGTGTTGGGAGGACATAAGATTAATGTATAGTTGACTCAAGACAAATGGTTGTCCAACATCAGCATGCATCAGTAAAACATGCAGTGTTTGTTAACAGTTCTGATTCCTGGATCCTTCTTAGCCCTCTAGAATCTGAATCCCTGGAGATGCGGCCTAGGATATAGCACTTTTTACTAAGCTCCCTGGTGGATATCGATAAGAGTGGTCTATAAATCACACCTTAAAAACACAGTCCTAAACATTCAAGAATGTTCCTCAGCACCTTCTCAGTCCCAATCAATTAATGTGGCTATAACAAAAAATGGATAACAGGCTGTTGAGTAATTCTTTCCCTACTGACTTAGAATCATCGAGTAAGATCCAAATTTAAGGATAAAGAAAGCCTTCCACAAGGAACTGAGGACTATATCTATCAGCTCTACCCCCTTCCTGCCCCTGTCTACATAAGCAGAAGATGGGGAAAAGGAGGTGAGTTAGAGACAGTAGAGTTGGCAAGATACAGTGATCACAGTTAAAAATATTTCCTTCCCCTTTTCACTGGGGAGAGAGTGAATTGTCTCTTCTCTATTCCAAGTGCAAGAGGGCTCTAAGAGAATTCCTCATAGAGACTGAAGATGCCTGTAAGAAGGGGAGACTAGCATTCCATTTTCCAGTCGGACACCTCTTATGTGGCAGAGCTATTAATGCCCAGTCAAGCAGGGAAAATGGAGACTTGGGAGACCATAATAGAGGTTAAAAAAAAAAAAAAAAAAAAGCCAATAAGGTGGTGAGAGGGCAGGAATGAAGCAGACTCTCATGATAGGATGTGGGGCCAAGTAAATGGGCTTGAGTCTCCCTGGTGGTACCTCAACTGACAATAAGAGACTGTGGGAGTGAGCCACCAGGATGGAGCTGGTGGTGATTGAAGAAAGCAAGCCAAAGCTGATCTCTCAATCAAGAACTGTTTAGCGAGCACCCTTCTTAAACTCCACCAGAGAATTTCCACCGGTACCCCATGAGAGAGCCAGCCTTTGAATGTCTACCCCAAAGAGGGTGTGACTACCCTGAGCAGTCAGTTATGTCTTAGCAACAATCATTTTCAGACAAGGACAGTGGCCAGGAAAGGAACAGACACTTCCCCCTTTTCTTCTTCTTCCACCACTGACAACACAATGAGAGAGCTAGAATGAAAGAGAGGGAAGAAAAGGAAAATAGCAGACCAGACCCTCTCCCCACTGCAAGTCCCTTTCCCAGCGTCAAACCTGAGCTGAGGGATTGGAGGAAATGAGACTGAAGTTTTAAATTGGACTACACAATTTTTAATAATGGAAAATGTCTGGAAAGCTATTGGATCTGCCTGAGATGTCAAAGGGATTAAAAATGAGCCTTTGAAAGAACATCGTTAAAGGCAATAATACCAAAAAACCCCAAACCCATTGCCGTCATGTCAATTCTGACTCATAGCAACCCTATAGGACAGGGCAGAACTACTCCATAGGGTTTCCAAGGAGCGCCTGGTGGATTCGAACTGCCAACCTTTTGGTTAGCAGCCGTAGCTGTTAACCACTATGCCACGAAGGTTTCCAAGGCAATAACTGGAGAAAAATAAATCCATTTCCTGTTTGTACCCCATCAAGTTCATATGACTCAAGAAGTTGGTTATAAATTCATACACTATATGCTCAAGGTTTCTTTGAGATTCAGAAGTGTCAGCTTGGTTTTCTCACCACCCAAGCAAGTGTATCATCCATATAATCTCACAGTGCCTGTGATTCAAATTTCTACCTAAGCAAAAGAATAATTATTACATGTCATGGATCACTGGGGTCTCTTAGGAGTAGTTAAACTGTGAATGGTAAATCAGTAAGTGTAAAGAGTCCACCATAGGTAAAAGTGATTTATAAACTGCAAAGTGCTTTATAAACTCAACTTATTCACCAGGTTATGCTATCCTCAAGGGTAGAGTTTATACCTTATTCATCTTTATATTCCTACCTTGCCAGTACTTGGCCCATTCTAGGCACTTATAAAATGTTGGGGAACGAATGAGACCAATTCCAGAATACGTTTTTTCAAAATCTTGATTTTCAGCAAAAATCTATAATCATTCTACCGTAGTCCCTGTGATATCCTTAAACCTCAGTGAACCTCATATACCTTCGGTGCAAAGAAGATGGTGATGGTTGCAGCTGAGCAATTCTGCAGGAGTGATTGTGGGAGAAACTCATTATTTAACTTGCATCATATTTCTACCAAAAAGAAATAAGCAACTGCAAACTTCTTGTCCAAGGTGATGTACTGAGCACTTAAGTCCACCTCTCTGCTTTCCTGAAGCTCACTGAAATGAAAGTATAAATGTACAAAAAGAATAAACCTCTCCATATCAGCTAAGGGTGTAGAGGTTAGGGTTTGCTCACAATTGCACGAGAGAGTTCAACAATCTTTGGAAAATGGAAAGCATATGGGAGTGAGTTGAATGATGACTGCCCTGTGTAGCAGCTACAGAGAGGGTGAGACGTGATTTGACTGTTAGAAATCATGAGAGATGCTGGAATCAGAGTTCAGAGTGAGAAATGTGGCTGAAAACAGGAAGATTAATGGAAGGCTTATATACAAATCTGCAGTGCAAATCGATACCTTTGTGTTTCTCCCATACCTCTATACTTAGAATTCCAGCACTCAAGCATTTATCTTCAGGCAAAAACAGAGGCCTCTTTTGTTGAATGAACTCTCTGATGAAAGCAAGGGCTTTGCGGGTTTTGGTACACCAGCCTACAACCCTTTAAGCTCTAGCATTTTGAAAGCCCGTGTCTGAGAGCCAGCTTCTCACCATTCATGCTGTAGTGAAATCGTACAGCCAACACAGCTCCATCAACCCACATGGGGCAGAGGCCTCACAGAAAAAACTGACCTAAAAACACAGCAGCAGAGCAAATCCAACACAAACAACTTAGTCCTTCTTTCTTTAGTAAGAATGGGTAATCAAGCAGCATCAGGCATACAAAAGGAATCAGAACATTAAGAGAAAGGCTAAACAAAGAAAAAAACTTATGTTGGATGAAATAAAAATAATTCAGGGGATAGGAGGGGCCTTTAAAAAGCTTCCAATATATTTAGAGTAATTCAAGCAGATTATCCACAAAATAAAAATATGGTGTTGTTATAGCTGGAAAAAAGTTGAGAAAATCTCCTAAAATGTAAAACAAAAACTCAGAGATGGAATATATGAAGGCGGTGGGGAAGAAGAGGAATTGAGAACAATCCAGGAGGTTCAAGATGACTAACAGAGTTCCAAAAAGAGAACGGATAAAATGGAGGGTCAGAAAATAGCAAAGAAATAAGAGAAGAAATGTTTCCAGAGCTGACAAGAGTCATAGTTCTTCAGCATTAAAGGACCAACTGAGAGCTGGAAAAAAAAAAAAAGTTATATATATTTATAAAAGATCCACATCAAATACATCGTTGTGAGATTTTGGAACATCAAGAACAAAGAGATGAACCTGAAAGCTTCCCAAAGAAAAAAGTCACCAAAGGGTATGAGGATCAGACTGGCATCAGACACACTGGATGCAGAAAACAATAGAATGACATCTTGAAATTTCTGAGTGGAATTGTCTTTCAAGCTGCAATTCTAAGCTAGACTATCAATCGAATGTAAAGAGAGAGAATAAAGATAATTCCAGGGGCTCAGTAAGTTATTCTTCTATGCTCCTTTTCTTAGGCAAATAATTGAGAATCTTCTCCAACAAAACAAGGGGGTCAACAAAGAAAGAAGATGACTTGGGATATAGAAAACAATAAATGGGACATACTTAGACTAAAAAAATTATCTGTTGCTTATCTTAATTCAAATTTAACAAGGGATTTTATATTTTTATTTGCTACATATGGCAACACTGAAAACAGAGGATCCAAACTAATGAAGTAGAGAAGTCCCAGAAATACAGCTATGCAGTAGAATTAGAATCTAGGGATGCAGAATTGAGCAAAATAACACAGGTTCTGCAAGGTGTGTCTGCAGAGAAGAGGGGCCCTCTGAAATACAGTGTTATTAAGATGGTAGAGAAACTTGTGGTGCTGATAGTTTTTTCAAGAAAAATCTTGCATAGAAACAAAAAGTTATACAAGAATGCCATTGTCCTATTTTGAAGCAAACTAAAACGTAGGATGATCGTAAGCCAGGAATAAAGTGTGAGGTTCACTTTTGATATCAGGGACATGGTAGGAATGTAAATGCAATGGCCCGTTTACAAAGATATAATAAGG